GCATGGCAAAGAAGCAGAGCCAGCACTGGGGGTGGGGTTGGTTTTTCAATGGAAACCAAACGTCTCTGAATCTTAATTGCCATCAACATTTCAGCGTCTGAAACTTGTTTTTCAAAGGGGGTGGGGTGGAGGAAACACCCACTTCCGCAGCAGCTCGGCCCCACGCCGGCTCCAAGCAGCGCCCAAAGCCCCACTCACTGAAGGCCGAAAGAAGCAGAGCCAGCACTGGGGGTGGGGTTGGTTTTTCAATGGAAACCAAACGTCTCTGAATCTTAATTGCCATCAACATTTCAGCGTCTGAAACTTGTTTTTCAAAGGGGGTGGGGTGGAGGAAACACCCACTTCCGCAGCAGCTCGGCCCCACGCCGGCTCCAAGCAGCGCCCAAAGCCCCACTCACTGAAGGCCGAACAGTTTAGAAAATCCACCTACAGAGGAAGCTTTTCACACTCACAGGCTGCGTCTACACTGGCAGGATTTTCTGCAAATGCTTTTAACGGAAACGTTTTCCGTTAAAAGCACTTTTGGAACAGAGCGTCTAGATTGGCAGGACGCGTTTCCACAAAAGCTCTTTTTGCAGAAAAGCGTCCGTGGCCAATCTCGACCCGCTTTTCCGCAAAAACGCCCCAATCGCCATTTTCGCCATCGGGGCTTCTTTGCGCAAAACAAATCTGAGCTGTCTGCACTGGCCCTTTTGTGCAAAAGGACTTTTGCCTGAACGGGAGCAGCATCGTATTTCCGCAAGAAGCACTGATTTCTTACAGTGCTTTTGCGGAAATTCAAGCGTCCATCTGGCAAGTTTTTCCGGAAAAACTGGCCAGTCTAGACACAGCCATAAAGTTCACTCATTTTCTCTTGGCTGGGATTGGCCTGCTCCAGGAGCGAGACCCTGCTGACGTTACAATTGCTGGTGGGAAAATCGGCAGCTTCACGGATCTCGGCCTTCAGACTCTGAATTAGGACATGAGCACTAGTCTGTTACGCGCTGGTTTGTCACTTTGTCCCGCACCGACGAACTCGGCTCCCCCGACGCTCTGGCTGAGTTAGGAAACTCCCGTGGGAGCAGCAGGAGTCTGTTCCAGCTCAGACACTGCCCTAGGCCTGGCGTTCCCACCCCTTACGGATCGGCCCCTCTCCGAGAGCATGCAGGGAAACGCCTTTGTGTGCAGCACAGAGGAGAGACTCCCTGGGGGTGTGATGGCGTCTCAGTCTAGCTGCATAGGTAGACTCCATAGAGATATAGAGACCAAGAGAGATAGATATTACACACACACACACACACACACACACACACACACACGGAATGTGCAGAGATCTATCTCACACACACACACACACACACACACACACACACACACACACACACAGAGTGGGATTGTGCAGAGATCTATCTCACACACGCTTCGGACTCGGGCCTCTCCCAGGCTCAGGACGCTGAGCCAGGCCCCTACCGCGTACGTCAAAAAAACCTGTGTTAGACTGAATTTCCCTCCCCAGGGCCTGCCGGTTCTCTGCCACCCCGAGGTGGGGGCGGGTGTAGACGCGGGATGAACTGGCCAAGCCCTGGCACTCTGGGTCTATTTACACAAGGGTGCGACGCTAAGGAAATGGCTGGATGGATTCAGCACCTGCCAACCCTTCTTCGGCTGGTCGAGAATCCACCAAATCGCCAGCTGGCTCCTCACCCCGGAGTGCGTCTTGCACCGTCTACCGGGGAGCTACAATCACCCGGACACGCTACGCGGGACTGCCCGCTGGCCCCGGAACCGGTCTCTGCTGTCTAGTTTAGAGAGGTTGTCCAAGAACTCCCCCCCCACGGGAAGAGCGAGGGCCGACCCTCCTCTTCTAACGTAAGTCGAGGTGAGAGCGTGGTTCTGCCAGGCCCGGGGGATTGTGAAACCAACCAGAAAAGAGACTAAACCGCCCAACAAGGACAGTCCTCAGCTCAAAAAAGGTCTACGGGCATTAGAAACGCTTCAGAGAATCAGAGAATCAGAGAACACTAGGACTGGAAGGGACCTCGAGAGTCATCGAGTCCAGTCCCCTGCCCTCATGGCAGGACCCAGCACTGTCTAGACCATCCCTGATAGACGTTTATCTCACCTGCTCTTACATATCTCCACAGATGGGGATTCCACAACCTCCCTGGGCAACTCATTCCAGTGTTTCACCCCCCTGACAGGCAGGAACTTTTTCCTAATGTCCAACCTAAACCTCCCCTGCTGCAGTTTAAGCCCATTGCTTCTTGTTCTATCCTCAGAGGCCAAGATGAACAAGTTTTCTCCCTCCTCCTTGTGACACCCTTTTAGATACCTGAAAACTGCTTCATGTCCCCCCTCAGTCTTCTCTTTTCCAAACTAAACAAGCCCAATTCTTTCACCCTTCCCTCACAGCTCATGTTCTCTAGACCTTTCACCATTCTCATTGCTCTTCTCTGGACCCTCTCCAATTTCTCCACATCTTTCTTGAAATGCGGTGCCCAGAACTGGACACAATTCTCCAACTGAGGCCTAACCAATGCAGAGCAGAGCGGAAGAATGACTTCTCGTGTCTTGCTCACAACACTCCTGTTCATGCAGCCCAGAATCATGTTTGCTTTCTTTGCAACAGCATCACACTGCTGACTCATAGAAGGGCAACTAAAATGCTGAAGGGTTTGGAACGGGTCCCCTATGAGGAGAGATTAAAGAGACGGGGACTTTTCAGCTTGGAAACGAGGAGACTAAGGGGGATAGGATCGAGGTCTCACACGGTGAGTCCTGCCTCTACAAAATCGGAGGGCCGCTGACCCCACCCTGTCTGATTATTTTCAGGTGTTGTGACACGTGTAAGACTGTTTCCTGTGCATGGAGGGGCGTCTACGCCGCCCCGCTATTGCGAGATCATGAGCGTGACTTGGAAACAAGAGCGCGAGCATCTACCCACCTCGCCCGCCCTGGCC